AAACCTTTCAGTTCGGGCTTGCTCTTGAAACATATTCTGCAGTTCAGAAATGATCTCAAAAGTTGTCTCCTTCTCAAAGAAAGTCTTTTGGAGCTCAGGAGACATTGTGGCCAACATGATGCATTTGACATCTCGATTGGCACTTTGCCATCGATTTAGGGCAGCCTGAGTCACCTCCTCATTGGGAGCCTCGGGCATTTCCTCATCAAGGACATATTCCTTTTGCTCTTGCATGAGAAAAATTCGCAAATTCCTTTGCCAATCAAGAACATTTGGCCCACTCAACTTCTCCGTGTCGAGAATTGAGTGTAATGAGAATTGGTTGTTTGAGTTATTTGAAGACATGATTCTACAATTGAAAGAATTTGAAAAAAAAAACCATTCATGATATTTAAATAAGATTGAATTCATGCATTTAAATCAAACTTATTTAAAGCGTCTTATTCACACATTTAAAGTTGTCCACATTTTGGGTGAGAATAAGTCGATTCCAAGATCCGAAGAAACAAAGAGTGGTTAACCATGCTTTGGCTTGTCTTAACACTCAATCTCCTGAGGTAAGCAACGCTTTTCTAATGGCTCCAAGCCACTCTTGGTTGAATAAATCATCGCATCTAATGCTCTCTCAACAATTCATTCACTTTGCCACGACATGTTAGGACTCCATCACTCATATCGTTGAGTACAACCAAAACCAACTTGCATACCCGGTATGCCTTACGCTCCTAGGAGAGGTAGTGATGCCTCGCTTTGGCGTAGCCCACCACTACCCTCGTTCGGTTGGTAAGTGTTGTTTTGGAATGACAAGTTTTACTCAATATTTAGGGACCTAGGGTTTCTATGTTGGTTGATTTAAGTGAACTTAATTAATCATCACAACATTCGAAATCCTAAACATGCATCTAACATATAATTCATATACATAAACATACATATACATATATATATATATATTTTATTTTTTTTTTTTTATATATTATATATATATATATATATATATACATATATATATGTATATGTATGTTTGTATATATATATATATATATATATATATATATATATATATATATATATATATATACATATATATATATATATATATACAAACATACATATACATATATATATATCGAAAAACATAAATATAGATGCATTTGGCAACTAGCATGACCCCTTGAGATCTTCAAATCTTCAAAAGGTCTTCTTCCAACTTCATGGCTACGTCTTCCAAGAACCTCCATCTTCAAGACTTGACCATAATTAAATGCAACTACTAGTATCTACGATTAGGACTAATCTAAATATTAAAGTACAAAAATACTCAACGGTTCGCAGACCGTAATTAGATTTACAAAAATACATCACGAATCGCAGTTCGTATTTTCTATCCTAATCGGGCCCCACTAGTTGCCATTTCATAAAACCTGTGAGAGAATATACATTCCATTCATCACTTCACTATTTGTGAATGGCCCATGCATTTTACAACGATAAACAAGTAACAATGCATAAACACACGTGAACTAGCAACTAATCTAGGTGGTTAATCCAATTAACACGCCTAATTAAAACTAGTCAAAGTTGTTTTAACCGGTTATGTAAATAATCGCAATTAACATTTGAAGCTTCCACTAAATTCCACATCCAACTTAATTAATCCAATTAATTAAGCCGGTAAAACCCAAAATTTGTCAAAATAAATTTTGCCAATGCCGCTCAAAGCCGAGACCTAGCCTCCAAAATTTATTAAAATAATAAAAACTAAATTATATTAATAAAATAATTAAAATGACAATTTAGGCAAAAATTACGTAGTCCAAAGTGTCTAAGTGCCTAGCACTAAGACATGGAGTGCTCACATTTCACACAACCGTTTGATGCGCAATGAATGAGGGAGTGGGCCCGATGTCGCTAAGCGTTACACCGCCCACATCAGCGAACTTTCACACATCAATAACGTGGCCCTTAATGGCCATGTTGTACGAACTCATTGCACTACATTGCTTCGCAAACAACATCTACGCATAACCCTAATTACACGACGCATGCACCAAGTCCCAAGCGATGCACCATGAGCTCGTGCTTGCACCAGCCGTGGCTAGCCACGCAAGCCAGCATGCACAGCACCATGCTGCTGCTGCGCTGTGCTGCTGCTTGGTACTTGTTGGCGCGCCATGCTGCTGGCAGCAAGCAGCAGCCACGCATGGGCTCGTGCGCAAGCACGGGGCACCATCCTAGGCGGCCACATGCGGGCTGCTATGCAGCCCGGCTAGCCAAGTGATGTGTTGCCTCGTTTTGCGTGCCATAGCCTCGTTTTGCCATGGGGCACCATCCTTGCGCGCCTTGGCCCAGCATTGGCGCGGCTAGCCTTGCGATGCTAGCATTAGTGCGCTAGCATTGGTGCGCTAGCATGCACCAGCCAGCCTAGGCTCGGCTTGGTGCATATGCTGGCCACCATGCTAGGTCATATGCCCCTAGCACTAGGTTTGCTCAGGGCTTTCCGATGCTAGGGGTATTTGGTCTTTGTTGATTTATTATTATTTCCATGTCTCGTCTTTTACTATTTTTCGACTCGACTTCCAACATTCGGTTTTGACGCACTAAGCTCGAATTCCCGACGTCTAAATTTTAATTACTCAGTTGACTTATTAATTAATTCATAATTAATTAGTTGCTTCGGTTTGTTAGTTGCTTGGGCGTGATCCAAAAGGTTCAGTCAAAATTAGGCTATAATATTAATTATGCATTAATATTACTGATCGGAAGCGGCCTCCACCCAGGCGTTCCGATCACTTGACCTTACTAAATATATTAGTTTTCTAATAATTCTGAACCCACTAACGGAATAGTACACTTGTTCGAAGGAAACCATTCCTTTCAAGGTTTAGAAAAAGAAGAGAGAGAGCTTCTAGCTTTTAGAGAGAGAGAGAATAGAGAGATTGTAGATGTTGATGATTTGAAATCAGGGAGATACGACCCCTATTTATAGGAAAAATAGCACAGGATCGAATAAAATCATATTCGGAATAAAATACCTCCTGTCGCCAACGACATGAGTCAACGCCAGACGACAGGCTCATCGCCAGACGACAGGCTCATCGCCAGACGAGGAAGGTCAGCGCCAGGCGACGAAGGTCAGCGCCAGGCGACGACTCTATCGTCTCGCGCTGGTTCAAAAGTACAATGACTTTTACACGCAGAATCACCTTCTAAACTGATTACAGGTAACTCTGCGTCCAAGCAGATTTAAAATCAGATGTAATATATTTTATTCAAAATAAAACATCTTTTAAAAATATAATTATCAATATTAATCTTAATAGAACTAAATAGAACCTTCTAGATATTCTTAGAAAGATTAAAATCAATCCTAATCACTTTAGGAATAATAATTAATAGGCCCTCCTCTACATCATTGGGCCTAATTTAATTTAATTAATCCATAACTTCCTCATAATTCATCGAAATTGGGCTTATAATATATCATTGGAAAGCTTTTTTCGAGCCCAATCCAAGTACACAATTTTTGGACCCTTATCATGAACCAAACCAAATTGGACTGGCTATTTTTATAAATAGGGTAAGAAAAGAAATATATTTGAAAACAGAAAGAGAAACATTTTAATAAAAACGTCCTCATCGTTAGACTTTACACACTTTAACTTCGTTCAATAATCAAATGACGCAAAAGGTATTCATCACTGGGTTTGGTTTTGGGGAGACACATTTGGGTGTCTACACACTGTTTCGTGATCTATGGCTTATAATTTATTTTATACCTGTAAATATAGGTATTTTAGTGGAATTAAAACCCTGAACCAACAATTTTATCCTATAAATCTATCAAAATTTTATTGAAAATAAAATCTCTAAACTAATTTTTTTTATTGTACAAAATCTATACTTTTTTATTCATAAAAAATGTATCCAATTAAATCCTACGTGTCATACTACTATTTGATTGTTCCTACGTGATGTGACAATTGGCGAAAAGTTGAAACGACAAGTGTCATTATCTCGTGACCTAGCCAAAAGTTTATCTTTATATTTTACTTACTAGTTTTATGCCCGTGCGATGAATTTTAAGATAAATTTTTAATCTATATGTCAAATTTTAAATATATCATTGATATAAATTAAATTAGTTAGGAAGTGATGTGCTTTTGTGACGATTTTCTTTCTAGTAAGCAAATAATGACTAATAATTATTATGTTGATCAAAATGTTCGATTAAATCCATAAAAAAAATCACCCCCCAAAAAAAAACTTTTATTTTAACACCTCCCAAAAATATAAAAGTTGGAAGTTAACACCAGTTAACGATTTCCGTCACGGAAATTTAACGTGGGTCCCACAAATTGGCTTGAACTTCAATTTTCACCCAGCAAAACACGAAACTTCTTTCTTCATTGAATTCGCAGCAACCTTCTGCATTGAATTCTTTCTGAACCTTCATTGATTTCGCTTTTGAACCAAAGGAGATCTTGGCTGAGAAGTGGAGTGTAGGGTGGTGTCAACGTTGGAGAAGATAAGCTCAGGAGGGTTTCTTCATCATCTTCTTCAACTACAAAAGTGCGAAAGCCGCTTGAAATTCACAGAAAATAAGGTAAAATTGCTCTCCTTTGATAGCAATTTCGTCAATTACTGGTGCTTCATTGCTGTAAACCTTGCAATAATTGGGTAATTAGGGTAAATTTTGGGACCACAGTAGGAAAGCCTTGATAAATCAATTTCTGTAACTGACTATGCGACTTAGGTTAATTGGATTTCGTAATTGAAAGTAGAGATTAATTAAGGTGGTTTATTGTTAATTAAACTAGCAAGTGTGGTTTGTTGATTAATTTATGTTACTGAGCACCTACATTGGCTTGTATATGTTTATTTTCAATTTTTTTATGTGTTTGTTTGTGTGGCTGTGATGGATTTGTTTATTCGTATTGTGCATGTATAGTTACATGGCTTTTAATATGTTTTATATGTTTTTCACTGGTGGGTAGATAATGGGTGACAAGGATAGTTTGGTTGACATCTGCCTTAGAGTGGGAGGTGCTTTTGTCCCTAAAAGAGTAACCAAAAACAGGCAGCTGCTGTGTTGGTGTGGTGGTTGGTGTTACTGGAAGAGGAAGGTTCAAGTATCTAAGTTGGATGTGCATTTGATTAGAACAGCTGCAATTCATGGTTTTGTTAATGGTGATATGGATGTGCCTATGCATTACAGCTGTTGGTATAGGCAGAAGGGGAAAACCTTTAACACTGGGAAAAGGGAACTAGTTAACAGTGAAGAGGTTAAGGGCCTTTTGGAGACAGTAAATGAAGAGGGGTATGTTGAGGTTTTTGTAACAACAGAAGCTCCTAGTCAGCCCATACAAGAGGCCCAACCCATACTATACCATGGACACATACAGGTCTGCTTATGAACCAGCTGTCCAACCAATGCCTGGCCCAAAGCACTGGGAGACAGTCAGAATGAGGGAACCACTACCCCCTTCTGTTAAGGTGCAACCTGGGAGACCAAAGAGCAAAAAAAGGAAGCTTGAGCCAGGAGAATGTTCTTCTTCAGGTGGTCAGGCAAGTACCAAGAGGAAGAAGCAATGCAGCAACTGTGGGGGATATAGGCATTATGCCAAGACTTGCAAAGTACCTGCTGCACCAGCTACAGAGCTGATAAAGTCAGCAGGCAGACCCCCACTGAACACTCCTTGGATGGTGGAGGAGAGGAAGAAGAAAGAGATTAGGGCTGCTAAAAAGGTAACACAAGCATTACACCAACTCCCCCTTTGTTTTATATATGTATGTGTCTTTTCCATTGACTTTTTATTTTTATATGCATGTCATAGAGTGCAATTGGGGCTGGACCAAACAGCATAGGAAACAAAAAGTTTCCTCAAGAGCAAGAAGGTTGTCTGCCATTCAGCAAGCGCCCACAGCCACAGTCTTCCTCAGCTAAGCATTCCTCAGCTCAGCCATCCTCTAGTCAGCCATCCTCAGCTCAGCCTTCCTCAAGTCAGCCTGCCTCAAGCCAACCAAAAAGAAAGACAAGGTCTTCCTCAAGTCAGCCTACAACAGCCACAGGTGTTGTAACAAGGGCCAGGCTGCAATCCCTCAACAACCTTACTCAGTGATGTACTCATGCTGGATATCAAACATTATGTCTGTTGAACAATTTCAAACTTTTATTATGTACTCATGACTGGTTATGTAACTTGCTAGTTTTTTAGTGGCTTCCCTTAACAAATTTGAACAATTAGATATTGAATTGTAATGGTTGCATGGCTTTGATTGCCATTGAAACATGTTGAAGTAAGGTTCTTTTGTCAACCTGTACTTGAACTATCTTAGTGTTTCACATATTTCCCATGTTTTAATGTTTCACATGTTTAAATAGGTTGATTAAAAGACAAGGCATAAATAGGAACTTAGACAAGGCATAAATAGGTTGATTAAAAGACATATTTATAACACTTCAAGTCATTACAAGAAATTATAACTACTTAATACAGCTTACTATTACACACCCCTAGCCATTAGGAAAATTACACCCATTGACAAACCTATACAAATGGCCATGCCCACCCAACCAAAACAGCTGATTGAAGACACCTTCCCTTCATTGCACTCCCTGTTCATTCTCTTCCTGTCAGCGTTCAAGGCCTTGCATCTCATCTTCAAATTATCAACTTCATTAAGTAGGCACCTCCTTTGGCCACTGATTTCATCAACTTCCCTTTTCAATTCATTAACTTCACCCTTTAGCAGCTTCTTATCCAACAACAGGTTGTTGATAACCCCTGTTTGCCAATCTGTTCCATCAGGTTGATCAACCCATTCGAAAGCTTTGCAACCCCTTGTTTCTGTTATTGGGTCATAAAACTTACATGATATGAACTTCCTGCCTGGATTCTCCCTTGTCCAGCTAGTGAGCTTGGCCATTGGCACACCACACTTACATTTTCTGGCCTCAGGAGGGGAAGAGCTAACAAACGACATAATCTGCATCAATTTTAGATCGACAGTCACATTCGTCAGATTTGTACACTGACGAATTAACATTGACAGCAACAAAATTCATTTTTAATTTCATAATACGAAAAGCCCCAAATTCAATTTCTGACGAACCCTAATTTCGCAATTGGGCATTTAGATGCGTACATAACATAATCCAACCATTAATCTGAGTACGAAACAATTGCAAATAATAATTGAAGAGAATTTAAACCATAATTACCAAACAACCGAACAATTGACCGCACTCACCTGTTTCAGCAGCTTCAATCTGTTCCTCTTCTCAAAAATCGTGGAAGAATCGTGAAAGAATTGTTTCAAGTATCGTGCAACAATGCAATGCGCTGCTGCTATTCAATAAGAACAACAATTTCGTTCATTGGGGAGAATCGTGCAAGAATGGTTCTTATATATCGTGCAAGAATCGTGGAAGAATGGTTCTTATATACAGATCTTTTTAAAAATATATCCGTTGGGGTGGGCCCCACTAACAGTTCTGTTAACGGAAGATGGATTTTGGTGTTAACTTCCAACTTTTATATTTTTGGGAGGTGTTAAAATAAAAGTTTTTTTTTGGGGGGTGTTAAAAAACATTTTCAGCCTTTTGTAAGGTGTTAAAATCCAAAATATCCAAAAAAAAAATTAAAAAAATTGTTCAAAGCCCGTTGGGTTGACTAGAGCCCGTTGGGTTGACAAGAACCCAAAACTTTGGACAAGGGTTAAACATTTCTTGATCCATAACCTGAAGTGACCCAATCCAAAATGACTCATGACCCAACCCTGATTGAGTGTTCTACATAGTAATAAAATTATATTAGATTGTGAAGTATATTATATTAATCGATTAGAATATATATTATTAATAGATATTTTACGTTTTGAAGTACTTCAATTCCGATCCTAGGTCTAAAAAATATTATAATATAAAAAATAAATTTATATGGTAATTTTTTTTTTTGAGTAAATTATCTCATGTACATGATCTACTTGTAATTCTTTAAAGCTCATAAACTTATATATATATATAAATGAATTTGACAACAATCATTTATTGTGTTAATTGTATGTGAAAGGGGTTCATTGATGACTTATACTTTGAAACGATATGCTTATGTCTATAACATAAGATATGAATGATTTCGTATGAAATGTAAAGACAAGTAGCGTACTACAATTTCATATTCCTTTTTTTTTAATATTTCTAATATACATATATATATATATATATATATATATATATATGTAAGTTCTAGATATTGTTCGTGTACATATGCATCATCATTGACTTTATTAAAATGATCATATGATTTGTACAACTGTCACGATTTTTAGTATGAATATGTTGATTGATGTGTGATTAAATTCAATTATAGTATTTGTACGGATGTACCTACGTGAAGTTGGATTACTGAAAGTAAATTAAACATGATTGTACAATATTTATTTGAGCAAGAGATAGATTACATTATGGGAAACCTACTTGAAAAAAAATTATATTTATTATGCCCATACTTATAAGAGATTAATATAATTGGGAAAGAGTTATGAGTTAGATTTTATAAAATAATTTTGTTATGCTTGATACATGCATTGCTAAAAGAATTTGTGCCTTAAAAGGTGGAAGATATTTAAAGGTTGTTGAATTCATTTCACGCCCCACATGCAAGGATTAGGGGATATTGTATTTATACCATTATTTTATGTAATCCTTGCACATAAATTAAACGAAATAAATATGTTGATGGTCAGTTTGGTACATACATATTTAAACCTTATAAAAATGCAAAACCAAATACTGTAGCTTATGAAAACTAACATGTGGTGTTATTACTTATGCGCCCCTAAATTCAATGAATTGCCAATTTTACCCTTTATTGTTTCTGTTTCTTTGGTGGCCTGGCTTTTGGAAGCTATCTCAGCCAGTTGTCTTCTTTCTCTCTCTTAACTCTTAAGTCTTCTTCCTTGTTCTCCTCTCACTATATTTCTCTCTCCTCTCGTTTCTCCTCTCCCCGCTCTCACTCGCTATCTCCTCCATTGGAGCAGTTTCCGAGGTACAAATTTATGATTTAATTTTGTTTATTTCTGGTGTTCATCTCTTATATTAGATTTTTCCTTTTATTTAACTGATTCAATTTTTGTTTATTTATGGGTTTTTTCCGCAATTGGATTTTTTGGGTGGTTACAGAAATTCTTCCCCTTTTCTATGATCTAGATTTTTGTTTTTTATATTCTATTTTCTGCCTTTTTGTTGTTTTAATTAGTAAGGATTTGGGAGATTGATGGTTTTCATCAGGTCTTTTTTTTTCTTCGTAATGCAGGTTCAGGTGAAACCAATAATCAGTTCCGCCCCCATTTGTGGCTCCCTACAACAAAGGCCTCCTCTGAGCAGGAAGTTCCGCCCCCATTTGTGGCTCCCTACAACAAAGGCCTCCTCTGAGCAGGTACTTTCTATCTCCCCCTCCTCCCCCACAATCAAATTCTTAAGCCCAAACTTTCAATTATGAGATTTTTAATTTTGACGATAAGTTCAGAATCAATACAAACAATGAAAAATCAATTACATCGATATTTCGCCATTGGCGATAATCAACACTAATCTTGAGGTTGACAGTACTTACAATGGCGGATGTAGAATAATTAGTGTGGAGGAGCACTAAATATAAAAATCAAAAAAATTCTTATGCGAAGGCTTGAACCTAAGACTTTTTGCATAAAATAAATGCATTATTACTGTGGCAAAGATAAATTAGTGTTATTTATTACATTAAAATTGTATTTAATTTATAAATTTATACAGTTACCTAAGTAAATAAAAAAAATTATTTTGGTGGGGGGGGGGGGAGGCAGTGCCACCCAGGACCCTTAATAGGTCCTCCCCTGCTTACCCTCCCGTCGTTGAAGCTTTTAGTCAGAATTCTCGAAGCTGATTGTGTTCTCTTCGCTTCTCCTCGTTTGCTTCTCCTGTTCGCTTCTCTTCGTATGCTTTCTTTTTTCTTTTTTCAATTTTCTTGATTCTTGCAATTTTACCATTTGTTTATTTCATTTGTGTTATTTATCAGTAATTGGTACTTGATTTATCTGTTTAATTGTTTGAAGAATTCTTTGGTTAATTATGGGTTATTGATTAAGGAATTATGGGTTATGTATTAAGGAATTATGGGTTAATTATGTTGAAATTTTGTTAATGGCGTTTGGCAGAGTTGAATTTAATTTGAGTATGGAAGCAATTGATATACAATTACCTAGCGTAAATTATTTGCTTAGGAATTATTTTGTGGGTATAATATTTTTTTGTGTTTATTTTTCAGTGTTTTCTAGCTATGCTTAGGGATTATTTTTTTTATTTCAACTATAGTTGTTCTAATTGCATGCTATTATAATAATTTTACAAACATATACATATTTAATTTTTCGAGGCTTATTATATATGGTTTGTATTAATATTTAAAGTTAATGCAATTGAGTAAGTCTTAGTATTGAACCTTAATTTTACGAGCTTGGAGAATTTTTGCTCTGTTTAGCTTCTGTGCAAGTATCATGATGATTGTTGTCACGTGTTGATTCTTACACTTTCAATGTACTAGATCATAAGACTTATATGCTCTATGCCTTTAAGGCTTGAATCTTCCGAAATTTTTTTTATGGCAGGGGATAAAGGAAGGATGTGGCTTCTGAACCTGCTGCTTCTTCAGGGAAAACTCCTCCTATTCTTGCTGTAATAATCCTTCTTGACTCGCATCTATACTTGTTATGATGTGTGCTATTTGGTTCTGCAGGAACAAATTCATCTTTGAAAACATAACATTTACCATAGTTCACACAAAGTATTCTTTAGAACTGCAGCTCATGACTACCCTTCTGCATCAGGTTGGATCTCCCCTAAAGGTATTATCATGTTCAATGTGGACGCTAATAATTTGGTCTCTAGATCACATTTTGGGTTGGGGGTGGTTGCAAAAAACAAGTTTGAAATTGGGCAGTGTTGCTTGCTTCAATTAAGAGGTGTAGTGGTTTTTTTTTTGGGTTAAATTTGAGTGATGTATCGTTTTTTTGGGTTGATTTTTTATATTGTTAGTAGCATTATTGTCTGATTTGTAACAGAATTGTTGATCTACAAGTACAATTCTATCTCCCCTTTCTCTTTCTTGTTCTAATTGGTTCAATTTTCATCTAACCTTTAATATGAACAGCTTAATCTAGACACCCATTTGTGTCTCCCCAAAACCAAACCCAGTGATGAGTACCTTTCACGTCGAATCATAATCGAATGAAGTGAAAGTGTGGAAAGTTTAGTGTTGCGGATAGGTTAATTTCTTTTCTCTTCTCTCTGTTTTTGAAAACCTATTTTAAGAAAACAGTCAATACACTTTGGTTGGTCCATGATATGGTTACAATAATAGTGTAGTTGGATAGGGCTTGAAAAAAGCTTTCCAACGATATATTATAAGCCCAATTCCGATGAATATTGAGGAAGTTATGGCCAAATTACTTAACTGGGCCTGGTTTGAGCCTTATATGCAGCCCAATGATCTAGAGGAGGGCCTAATGTGGATTTATCATTTCTATTGCAATTAGGAATGATTTTAGTCTTCTAGATTTTTCTAGAAGGTTCTTTTCATTCCTAATTTAATTAGCATTGATAAATTAAATTTTGTTGACTTTTTAGAGTTTTTATCAGAATAAAAGAACGTTTTTGAGGAAAATACGATTTTATCCTCCTGTACAGCAATTTCTATCTGATTTTAAGAAAACGCGTTAATCTCTAAGTCATCGCCAAACGCCAGCTGTAGCGCCTGACGCTACGCTTGGCGCTAGCCTTAGTGCATGGCGCTAATGTTAGCGTTTGGCGCTAACCAGGTTTTGCACGTCAAAACTCTGTTTTTGATGTTTTATCTTTTTGGCTGATTTTCTCTATAAATAGCTTCCTAAAAACTCCGTTTTGATTCACCAAATCTCATCAAGATTTTCTTGATTATTATCTCTCTCTCTTTTCTAAACTAACCTTCTCTCAAATACAAAATTCCGCATTCGCAAGACTTAGATACACCTAGCCATATTCGAAGTTACCTTCGCCCTAGACGTGAAAGGTTTAATTTCTGAGGGTTTAGTCCCAAATCTCTCTTTCAATTATTTAATTTAATTGTTCGTTTTTATTTTCCTTGAAGTTACTAACGTGTGTATTTTGTTATTAGAAAGAGGTACGAGGCATTCAAGTAATTACTTTAATGGTTTAATTGATATTATGATATAGAAATTATGCTTATATTGTTATTTTGTTTCCTAGTATCATGTCTAGGGTAACTTTTATATCAAATATGATTGTTATGATGCTTCCTATGTTTTTCCTAATATTTATGATTGTTAGTATCATGTTAGGGTTAAAGCTTTAATCTTTATTGTTTAATGACATGCTACGATTTGTTATTAATCTTGTTATTATCATGCATAGGATCTTGCTATTATTATGCTTTAACATGATTATGTTAATTATGATTATAATTATGATTATAATTATGATTATAATTATGATTATAATTATGATTATTATTATAATTAATTTATGATTATTATGTTGCTTGATGCTTATTTATTGTTATTGCTTGATCACACCTTTTAACGCATGTTTAAAGAGAATTTGTACTTGTAATCACGCTTAATAAGATATTTAATAATCTTGTTAGGGTTAATTTGGTTAAAATTTAAGTGATCGCCAATAATAGTTTTATTTGTGCATTAAAATTCAACCAACATAGATTAAACAGGTTTAGGGTTAATCCTATTGATTGCATGTTAGTCAGAAAGCGCACATGAATACGATCAGAATAAAGTAGAGACATATTATTAGGGCAGGTTCAATCTCTTTTAGGTTGGATTTGTACCTTCATCCCCGAACCCTTATTTGGTTCAAGACCTTATGGAGTTGACGATCTCTTGGATCATTAAGGGGTGTAACTTTCACCCTGTGAACGGCTTACAAGTTCCTAAAACTTGTTGGCAACTCTTTTGCTCTATCTTCTTCCCTTTTGGACGCCTCCGTACTTTAGTGTATGATTACAGTGGGGTTCAAGCTAGGGGTTAACGCTTGAAATATTCCCTACAGTATCTAAATACCCTGAATGGGTCGCCAACGTCGTCCTAGTTCCGAAAAAAGATGGAAGGGTAAGAATGTGTGTCGACTATTGAGATCTAAATAAGGCAAGTCCAAAGGACGAATTCCCTTTACCACACATCTACATTCTGGTAGATAACACGGCAAATCACGCACTTCTCTCGTTCATGGATGGATATGCAGGTTATAATCAGATTCTCATGGCAGAAGAAGACATGAAGAAAACAACTTTCATAACACCATGGGGCACTTACTGCTACACGGTAATGCCATTCGGGTTGAAAAACACGGGTGCCACTTACCAACGTGCAGCGACTGCCTTACTCCATGACATGATGCATAAAGAAGTCGAAGTATATGTTGACGACATGATTGTAAAATCAAAAGTCCGCGCAGGCCATCAAGTAGCCTTAAGGAATTTTTTTCGAAAGGCTAAGAAAATATAATATGAGGTTGAACCCATCTAAGGGTGCTTTTGGAGTCACCTCAGGCAAGCTTTTGGGTTCTGTCATAAGCTCTAGAGGAATAGAGATAGACCCAACCAAAATCAAAGCAATCATGTCAATGCCACCGGCCAAAACAGAGAAACAGATTCGAGGATTTATTGGCCGGTTGTAGTATATAAGTAGGTTCATATCAAAATTGACAACGATATGTGAACCAATCTTTAAGAAGCTTAAGAAAAATGTACCAGTAATATGGGATGACGAGTGTCAAAAATCCTTTGAAAATATCAAAGCCTATCTTGCAAATCCTCCCATATTAGCACCAGCACTTCCCGGAATACCTCTTAGGTTGTACTTTACAGTTACCAAAGAGACAATGAGAGCTATGCTAGCACAAGAAGTAAAAGGCAAAGAAAACACAATCTACTATCTAAGCAAGAAAATGCTCGAATATAAAGCATGCTATACACCACTTGAAAGATTGTGCCTCGCCTTGGTGTGCGCCACAACCAAGCTAAGACATTACATGCTAGTGCATACGTCTTTGTAGTCTCCCGATTAGATCCACTCAAGTATCTATTCGAGAAATCTACACTCAATGGACGCATATCGAGATGGATAGTCAATTTAGCCCAGTTTGATGTAAGATTTATGCCGCAAAAAGCTATCAATGGATCTGTGGTGTCAGACTTTCTAGCGGACTTCCCAATAGAAGACTCGACGCCAATACAAGACAATGAGTTTCCAGATGAAGACTTAATGGTCACTGAAGATGATACGTGGACCTTATACTTCGACGGAGCCTCAAACCAAAAGGGGTGTGGCGTTGGAGTATTACTAGTATCACTTAAAGAAGAGCACGTCCCAATTTCCATAAAGCTTGACTTCGACGTTACCAACAACGCTGTTGAATACGAAGCATGCTTGAAACAACTTTGGTATTGGGAGTAAAAAAGTTACGGATATTCGGAGACTCTTCATTAATCATCAATCAAATATCCAAAAGGTGGAAAGTAAGGAGCGAAAGTCTAGCCCCTTACCAAACCTATCTGGAAAGTCTTACTAATCAGTTAGAGAAGGTAGAATACACATATCTACCTAGGGAAGAAAATTAATTTGCTGATGCCTTGGCAAGACTAGCCTCGATGGTTAGGATTCCCATGGAAATCGAGCAAATGCCTCTAACTATAGAAAAAAGGCACAAACCGGCATATATTCAGGCTATAGAAGATGATGAAGTAGTCCAAGACAAATACCCTCCCCATGCTGATAAAAGAGTAAAACGAGCATTAAGACTCTTGGCTTCCTAATATGTACTCATAGACAACGAGCTACATAAAAGGGTACCTAAAGGTCGAGCTCTCTTATGTATGGGAAAAAAGGATGCACACAGAGCAATGAGGATAGTCCACGAAGGAATCTGTGGCACTCACATAAATGGCAAAATGTTAGTCCAAAAGATAATGCGAGAAGGATATTATTGGACTACAATGAATAGGGATTGCCATCAATACGTAAAAAGATGCCCTAAGTGCCAAATCTATGCCAATTTACAACATGTTCCTCCATCCTTGCTCTACACCTACACGTCGCCATGGCCGTTCTCTACGTGGGGAATTGACATCATTGGCAAAATCACTCCCCTAGGAATAGGAGACCATGAATATATCCTAGTGGCAATTGATTACTTCACAAAGTGGGTCAAAGTGCAATCATATGCTAAACTCACTGCAGAACATGTAGCACTCTTTATCGAGAGAAATATTTTTTGTCGATATGGAGTTCCACATAAAATGATAATTGACAATGGAACTCACTTTCAAGACGAATGTGAAGAATTGTTACAAAAATATGGCATTCAACATCATCATTCTTCCCCTTATAGGTCTCAAGAAAATGGAGCAGTCGAGGCAGCTAATAAGAATCTAAAGACTATCATCGAGAAAATGACGGAAAATTATAAGGATTAGCCTGACAAACTTCACTTCGCATTGTGGGGTTATCGCACGTCAATTTGCACATCAACAGGAAATACACCATTTTCCTTGGTATATGGAATGGATGCCATACAACCCGTCGAACTAAAAATTCCATCTCTACGCATCGCGTTAGAGAGCAAACTCGATGAAGTTGAATGGACTAGGGCAAGATATGAAGAGTTAATTCTACTCGATGAAAAACGACTAGAAGCTCTACATCACACTCATTGTTACCAAACTCGTATGGCTAGGAATTTTAATGAGAAGGTCAAAACAAGAAACATCAAAGTAGGAGACTTGGTGTTAAAGGCATTAAGGAAAAATGTTTTAGATCCAAGGGGAAAATTTAGA